TGCCTACAATATTAAAATAGTAGAAAAATTTTATATTTTTTAAAATAAAAAAAAATGCTTTATTTATTTTTGCCTCCAAAAACCCCTGAAAGAGAATTTGTTTGCATATTTAGCTCGAAATCAAAGAAAATATTAATATTTAAAAACTATTTCCTCCTTTGTGTAAGCTGTTATCTAAAATTTTAAAATAATTGACAAACTTTGTATTTGTATTTATTATAATAAAATTCCTTAGCTCTTTTCAATTTTTTGTACATTGTATTTCAAAAGCAATTTTTAATTAAAATGTATCCACATCTCCGAAAAAGTTTTCATAAAAAAATTTAATAAAATGCGTAATGGATATTTATATTTAATATCAATTCAGTCAATATTTATAATAAACATATATATAGTTTAAACTTGTTACTGTCTTAATTTCAGTTTTCGAAGTTTGTGAAATATGTAAATAAATTAGAAATAATAGGTATATTTTTTTAAATTAAATTAAATTAATTAAAAAAATTGCTGCAATATATAAAGTTTTTTAATTGTTTCAATTTGTAAATTAATTGAACGAAATTTATCATTCTCCTCTGATCCGATCGACGCATCATATATAAAATCAATCATCGTCTTAGGGGCCCCACTTTTTGAGAGGGACGAACTTAAGTTGCACAGTCACAAATAGTTCCATAAATTTTACTTATAAGGGAAAAAAATTCTTAAATGTGTTAAATACCGGCAAAATATCTCTTTCTTGTTTTTAATAGTAAAGAATTTGATTTGATGATAAATCGCGAAAATTTTGTTTGTCCGAAATATTAAGGGGGGCTTTTAGAGATTTCTAATTATTGAGGAGGATATATACACCCCACCACCACCACACACTACAACGACGCCCATGATTTAGACCTGATATTTGTTCGAAAAAGATTAAATATTAGTTAACCTCTTCGAGACGGGAGAGTCATATATGAATTCTCAGGGTGCCGATAATCAAGGTAAAAAAGATAAAACTGGTAGCCAAACTATTTTTAAAGCAGTTTATTTGTGGGCGGAGAAATAATAATTTGCTTTATTTAACTCACCACTACTTAGTTCGAATTAAAAATTGCTTAGTTACACTTTTAACACACTAGGATTGGAAGATTTAAAGTGAAAGTAAAAATAGGTCTATCAATTTAGCTATGCTCAAACTTAAGCTACCGCTTTTTATTTTTTACTATCCTCATTCTACACGAATATATTTATGACTTGCCCGTCCCGAAGAAGTTAATAAGAACGTTGCGTTATTGCATTTTTATTTATTGACAACTGTAATATGCCTATACATTGACAATTCGCGAACATAATTTTATGTTATAGCTTTTCATAATTAGTAGTTGAAACGTATCGTTTACTTTTCGAGAAAATAAAGTTTGAAAGAAATCTATCTTTTCGGAAGAAGAACCAGAAGAATATAAATATTGCTTGCTGTTTGTTGTATTGTGATTGTGAAGAAAAATTACATGTGCAGGATTACGAAAATTACAAAAAAAATTGGAGAATGGTTGCAAAAAATCAGGACAAACCTAATAGACTTGTTTTAACTTTCGTTTTATTCAAACACATATCATCGACATTGTTTGTAAGAATATCCATAAAATATTTATTTTAAAATCAGTCGAGATGATATTAATATTCAAAATATTATAATCACGCTCTTGAATAAATTAATAATCAAAATAATTTGTCTACCACTTATTTCTTTGAACGTGTGAAATTGTTGTGCATGTTTAGACTTATATTTAAAAACTTAATCTTAGAAAGTTTCTAACTTGTTTGCGTTAAGTCAATAGAAAATCATATATTTTGATGCTCATCAATATACACTTACTACTAAAAGGAGAAAAAAAATTAAGCATGAAGTGCGTTTAACACGTTCACGCCGGGTTGACCCACCGGTGGGTCACGCTAGATTGTCTCATCTTGGCAGCCCACCGGAGTAAAAACTGGTAACAAATAAATTTCATTTTTTAGTTTTTTTTCCGGGAATAATAAAAATCCATAAATACCAATTATTTGTAACGGATGCAATTTTTATATTGAATTGCTTCTTCGCCGTGATAAATTTCCTTACAGTGAATTGTTATTATTGAGAATAGATTAACTCCTCCCGAATATTATCTAATATCGAAATAGTTCTTCTACCAGTATTTTCTCTTTTCCGTCCCGCTTTCAGGCCTGAACACCCGGCGTGAACGTGTTAAATCAATAGAAAATCATATATTTTGATACTCATCAATATAATCATACTAAATGAAAAAAAAAATTAAGCATGAAGTGCGTTTAAATGAATTTAAGCTTCTTAAAAAAATAATTTCTTTCATCACTTTCCATCTCGAAAACATAGTTTTCTCCTTATAATGAATTCATCTTGAAATCTATTTAAAAGAATTTAAACTTTGTTTTCAAATAATTTTCTCTTTTATCACCTTCCAACTCAGAACGTATTTTGTTCCTTAAAACTCAAATTATTTCTTCTGAAACTTCATTTTGATATTCATTTAAGATGAATTTTAAAAAAATCAAATAATTCTCTTTTTTTAATCACTTTTTTACTCAAGACACATTTTGTTCTTAATAATTCATCTTAAAATTTATTCAAATGAATTTAAACTTTTTATTAAAAAAAAATCATTCTTTCTTTTATCACCCTCAAACTCAAAACTTATTCTTCTCATTACTATTCAAATGATTTTTTCTGTTATTTCACTGTGAAAATTATTTGAATTTTTATTTATTTATTTTTGAAATAATTTTCTCTTTCATCACCTTCCAACTCAAACCATATTTTGCTCTTTATAATTCATCTTGAAATCCAAAACACATCTCACCTGGTCTAGGCAGGCCTACACATATTCACTTTTAACTCAACGGAATATGAAACAGTGTCCTTTCTACGCCAGCTGTATTGGGGGTGCTTGGTACCGGCGCGTGTGACGACAGCTGTTCGCCCTCCCTAGCACTTTCGGGTGAAGGAAACACTATGGAATATACGTATAACGGTCCTTCCTTCCATTTTTATCGTCTGCTGAAAAACTCGACGACTTGATTTTTTTTTCTTCTTCTGAATATACAATGGATAAGCACACGACAAATACTGGGGAAGCCTTCCCCCTTTTTTTAAGTTAGCCCCCTTCCCCTTTTCTATTAAGGCACACTTCTCTTCCTTTCAAATGTTTTTCTACCCCCCCCCCTTAAATGAAAAAAAAAGGGAAAAATTATGTAAATTGTATTGCTTGATGAATAGGTGGATATGGAAGAGTTTTACTTTACCCCCCCCCCTTATAAAGCTGTTTCCGTTAAAGCTAATAAGAGAATAAAAATGGTTTTTAAGCACTTATTCTTTTGTAAATGAAGAATTTCTGAGTCAGGCTTGAAAACTGCAGTGGAGGAATTTTTTCGTCAGGTAATTTCGATTACTAAAAAATGTTCTTCCGGAACAAAAAATAAAATTAAATTATTTGATTGATTTGTTTTAATGAAAAAATTTCAGAGTTTTCAACTCTATATAAAATGCATACATAAATGCTTACTTTTATGGATTTGTCGTAATATTTTATATTTAAAGTAGCAGCAAATCTTTATTTCTATTTTTTTTTCTGATTTAAGGGTTTATAAAATTTATTTTGAAATGATTTTGACAACATGTAAATACATTAAAAGATACATAGCTACATGATAATCACACAACTGTGATTCTGATTTATTCTCAAACGATTTAATCATTCTGCTAAAAAAGATAAATTCTATTACAAGAAACATAGAATGTTTTTATTCAGGGTTACAGAGCATGCTGTGACATAGAATGTTTTTATTAAGGGCTACAGAGCATGCTGTGACATAGAATGTTTTTATTAAGGGCCACAGAGCATGCTGTGACATAGAATGTTTTTATTAAGGGCCACAGAGCATGCTNTTAAGGGTTTATAAATTTATTTTGAAATGATTTTGGCAACATGTAAATACATTAAAAGATACATAGCTACATGATAATCATACAACTGTGATTCTGATTTATTCTCAAACGATTTAATCATTCTGCAAAGAAGATAAATTTTATTACAAGAAATATATGATTTTTTTTTCTATCTTCTTTTTACTTTATTTTCCATTTGAGACTACAGAGCACGCTGCTACGTAGGATGTTTCAATTAAGGGCTATATAGCATCCTGTTACATAAAATGCTTCCAATAGGAGCTACGTAGTATGCTGCTACGTAGAGTGTTTCGATTTGAAGCTACATAACATGCTGCTAATTATGTTTCGATTAGGGACAGCATAGCATATGTTATTTAAAAAACAAAGGGATAGTTGTTTTGAAAATAAAATAGAAAAACACATATATACGGATGAAAATTTTAAAATTATTATAAATATATTTATTTTTTTGAAAACTATACTAAACTTGTATTCTGAATACTAAATATTCATTAATATTATTCATTTTCTAAACAATTAAAGATTGATACGTTTTTTTTTAACTTGTTCCCATGTAAGTTGAAACTGTGTAACGATTAATTAGCTTGCAAGGTTATTTTGTTCAAAAGAGTTGTTTAAACTATTGAAAATGAATAGTTAAATTCTATTTAAGTAATTATGCTTATAAAATTAGCAAGTTAAAGTGTATTGATTGTTGCTGCTAACAGTATCCTCCAAGTTTCGAAATTGCCGCTCTTAATGCATATTTTTCGAATCCTTGATAAAAATTAAGTCAAAAAAGTAGTAAACAAATTGGAGGCCGCATATTAATATTTAGGAGAATTGAAAACAAATACAAATCACTGTTGAGAAAAGCTGAAATCGGTCCATCCTGAATAACTTTTGATCGAATTATATTATCGGATCTTCATTGGTAGGATCGAAGGATTGACCTCAAATATGCTACAGGTACATACGATGGAAAAATAGGTACAAATGATATTTTAAGTTACGAAATCAGACCCAAAAACGTACTCTCTAAGAATAAACATACCTTTTTCTAGGCGGATTCGGACTTCTGACCTCTAAAATATAGGGGGGAGGGAGTACGGTTTCTATCTGGGAAATACAGTTCCAATAATTTGGTCAGGTGAGCACTCCCTTGGCCAAAGGATATTCTGAGAAGGCCTTTCCATTTCCCAAGCTCGCTAATTCTAATTCCTCATAAATCTATCACTCCTTATCTCCCCTTCTGCTGACCAGACGAGTGGTCCTCTCGCCGTTCAAACCCCCTTCCTCTAGCGTCCACCATGTAAAAGGGGGTGACCACAAACGATTTGTAGCTCTTCGTCCCGAATAGGACGAAATATATAGCACCTCCAAAACCCGTTCCAAAGTTTGGATCCATTTATGCTAATTTTAATTATTTCGTATTTCGCTATGAATTGAGAGTTTATTAAGCTTATTTAAAAAAAATTTGCACAGAATAATAAAATTCGTTTATTTAAAGATAATTCCGTGCAAAAAATAACTTTTAGTAAAAATTTTGAATTTTTATTTTATTTATTATATTTATTAACGATCGAAAAATTTTGAATTTTAAGGTATACAATTTTTTGCATTATTTTAAAGAATGTAAATTTATATTGCAATGTACAAAATTTCAGGAAAATCAGTCGAATACTTCCTCTGAAATCGAATTTTAAATATCTGACGTTTCTATAAAAAATTCGATTTCTCAGGAACTATTCGGCCGATTTTGCTCAAATTTTGTATTTTACCATGTAAAATCACATCCTTTAAAATGATGCAAAAAATTAAATACCTTACTAAACAATTTTTTTCCGATTATTATTAAATTAAATAATAAATATTTACTAAAAGCTATTTTTTGCATGGAATTATCTTTGTATGACCAAAATTTGTAATTCTGTGCAAAAGTTCTTCAATTTGCTTAGAAAGCTCTCTAGATATAGCGAAATATACGCAAAAGATTAAATTAACATTAAAAGGGTCCAAACTTTGGTGTGCTCTGATAACCAAGCTTTTGGGACTATATTTTCCAGATTGCGGCTTCCCCTTATAATGAGGGGGTCAGAAATCCGAATATGTCGAAAAAAAGGTATGTTTATTCACAGAAAGTACGTTTTTGTGTTTGATTTCTTAACTTAAAATATCGTCTGTACTTCGTCAATAGCATAATTGTGGTCATCCCCACGAGCCATTAAAATTAAGTCCTAGAACATTAAGTTTTAGGGTGGTTAGTTTTTTTTTTTTTTTTTGCATTCAAACCAGGATCTTATCGTAAATGGTNTTTTTTTTTTTTTTTTTTTTTTTTTGTGCTCTGTACCTGTACATGTATTGAGTTTGTTAATAAATTATTTTACCATTCTTAATGCTTACATTCTTTTTCACTTATCTTTCGCAAGCTTTCTAAAACAAAAAAATTAAAGGATGAGGTTGCAGAACTTCATGCAAAAAAGCAAATATTAAAATTTTAAAATATATGTATAAAATAAAATGTTCAAAGTTTACTTATTGGATAGGGAAGGAAGACTGAAATATATTTCTTTTCTACCTCTTTCCCTACCTTAAAAATGTATTTTTTTTTTTTTAAAGAAAATTTTTAAAAAAATGACGATTTTACTGATAGGTTAATATGAAATTCGTTTAAAAATCTCCTGTATTTTGTTTTTAATTTGTTTCAAAATCTTTTACAGCAAAAATAGAATTCACTAAAATTAAGAAAATAGTAATAAATATGTTCAACATAGGGAAAATATGTATAAAGAACACTCGAAAACATATTGTTTATATCGGATATTTTTAACAGGTAGGGGAGAGTGGGGTCAGTTGTAACATTTTTTACTTAACTATTTTTAACTAACAAAAAATTCAATATATTATTAGTATTAATTGACAGACGAGTAAAGTAGACTATCCTCTACTGAAAAAAAAATAAATACCTTATTTTAAATGTTATTATATTAGTTATTAACAATTTTTGACAGTCGTGCACTTGTTACAATTGTCCCCACTTACGGGGTCAATTGTAACAGTTCATAAATTCAACTAAAACATAGTTAATTATACATATTATCATAGTTGTGATATATTTTTTTATTGATCAAAATAGTAGTGATATTTTAGGAGTAAAAATAATAATGAGCAGAGACCTAAAGGGTTAAACTTTTAACTTTAAGGGGTTAAAAATTTTAATTTATGCTGTGAAAGGTGACAAATAAAATAATGCACATGCAACATAATATAAATGATATAGGAAACTATTGGTGGTTCTTAAAGAGTTAAGTAATGGTTTGTAAACATAAGATTATTTATTTTCAGCTGTTACAATCGTCCCTTTACTTATTGTTACAATTGTCCCCAAGACGCCATTTCAGCTTCATTTGTTAAAAACAATGCTAGTTAATTAGCAAAACTAATTTTTTTTTTATTGAAATGTTAATTAAGGTGTCCACTTACATATTCGGTTAATAATTTTTATTTGTTTAAACAAAATTACTTTGTTACAATATAATATTCTAATACCAAAAAAAGTACTTACGTAGCGTGAAAATATCTTTTGTGATGTAACTCTTTCAAAAGTACATAAAAATGGTTGCCAGCAGAGGTGTACATGTAGATTTATTAAATACACCTTGTGCGCCTCCTAGGAGTCAAATCTAGAACCCGACACTCGAAATTTTTGCTCTGTTACAATCGTACCCTGTTACAATTGACCCCACTCTCCCTTATAATTTTCTATCTTAATAGCTGTAACAAGTCATTTGAAAATGATATTGAGTAAAATTAGTCATAGCATTGTTATTATGAATAAATTGATAACTAAATAACTTATCTACCACATTTTATTTGGAATGTCGCCGTGTAAAAATTAATATATAATCAGAAAACTTTTTATACCACTTTTTTTTATTTAAATTGTAATATATTTTTAAAGATTTTTCAAAGTATTACCTAAGTATCGTTGAATCGTATATTCGTTTGATAAAAGTGCTAAAGTAATTTTGGCATGAAATATCAAAAAATTAGGGTTAGAGATGTTTGTACCTTGAGAAAATTGATAGTAAAAGCATATATCAATATCTTGATTTGGGGATAATTAAAGAGCCCTGGCTATTAATACTGACTGAGAGTTTCATCTTAAATTTTATACTGTTTCCTTCAATGGAAAATTTTTTTTAAATAAAAATTGGTAAACAAGAGCATTCATTCCTTGCAGAAACAAGCTAAAAATGAACCAGGGTTCCGGGGTACAAACAGCCCAGGTAGATATACAGATACAGTAACTTCAACTATTTGAGGCTCAGAGCTTACCCGGTAACAAGTAAAAACTGATAGTGAAATTATTTCATTTTTAGCTTTCAGGGAAGAGTAAAATGTTCCCATCTACAACAGATATAAATTCAGCTCTCGTACATCTAACTGTTGACAAAAAGAAGAAAAAAAAGATCTAGAGATAAAATAATTTTTATTTCCAGAATTTTTTATGGCAGGAATAAAATTTCTGTAACTGCCACAACCAACTAACAGTTATACATACAGTTCATTACATGAAACAGACTGTTCATTACATGAAAAAAGTAAATTGCAAAAAACATTTAGTAAAATTGAATAGAAAATGCTAAAAGTTATATAATTATGGATTTTATTTTCCTTAAAAAAATTCACGTGTGTAAAATATACTACACGTAAATATACATGATTTAAAGAACTACAACTTATCCGAAAACGATGACATTTTATAGTTTCCTTATAGCAGTGTTTCCCAAACTTATGAATTTTGTGTACCCTTTCTAAATTTTTTGTAACGCTGTGTATCCATAATAAAAAAATGAATGTATTTTTTACTATAATGAATGCAAAAAAGTTAAAAATCACAACTGACTGTTGACACCACGAATTAATAAATGTTAACTCTGCCAAAAATAGCCAATAGAAAAATACTTAATCGTAAATTTTCATGGCTAGTTTTGTTTTTAAATAAAATTTTTTGAAATTTTCATATGTTGCAAGATATTTCGCATAAGAACGCGTACCCCCACTGAACTGTTCCTGTACCCCTGGGGGTACGCGTACCACACTTTGGGAAACACTGCCTTATAGTATACGTAGTCTGCGGCAATGTATAGATCAATATGATTAAACACTTAAATAGAATTTTTTTTTCCTTTAAAAACATCTTAATTATTTTTTTTAAATGATTAGAGTTTAAAAAGTAACTTAGTTTAGAAATCAATTTAAGCATTTAAAAGTTTTTTTTCTTCATGCATTTATTTTGTTAGGATGAACTTTGTAAGCCTCTTTCCAAAATTATGCGTATAGTGCAATAATCCGTTTCAAATACTATGTTAGTGAAAAAAAATTACATATTTAATGTTTATTCATAAAATTCTAGCCCTTATTGCTGATTTCACATTAAACTAAATAAAAGTCACATTACTTGTAAAGAATTTTATTTATTTATTTAAGATAATAATAATAATAATAAATAAATAAAAAGAAGAAAAAGAGAAGATGAAGCTTTTAGACAAAAATTGAATGGGAAGTTTTAGAAGAGTAATATACTATACTATACTATATTACAAAACGAATGGAAAGGTAATTAGAAAAGTAATTTACATATCTTTACAACTTCATATAACAAAAAATATTAAAAATTCTGGCAAAAAATTTAATGGAAAATTCGGTAAATTGTAAGAAAACTATCTTTACCTACATAACAAAGCTATTGAACATTCAGGCAAAAAATTGACTGGAAAATTCTGGAAATTGTAAGAAATCTATCTTTACATTACAAAATTATTGAACATTCAGGCACAAAATTGAATGGAAAATTCTGGAAATTGTAAGAAATCTATATCTATATTACAAAATTATTGAACATTCAGGCAAAATTATGGAATGGAAAAATTTTGAGCAGCAAAAAACATATCTTTACGTAACAAAATTACTATGAAAATGAAACTGCCAACTTTACATTTTCTGACGAGACCTTTCTTTAGTGTTAAGTAAATAACAATTGAATTGGCAAATGCGAGCAGAATTTTTTTCTTTCAATTTCGATAACTCTGTAAAATTGTACTGAAATGTTTATTACCGAACTTTTATATATTTATTCGAATTATTTGCATTCCGTTTTAAGAATATATATGTATTTATTTCCATCTCTGTCACATCAGTTCATCTTGATGCCCTGCATTCTTGTTATTCATATGAATGCCGATTCCCTTGTTTACTACACGAATTCTCCGCTTTCTCTCCATAGCGGGTGAAAATCCCCATTTTTCCCTGATTTGTATTTCTCGGTTCTCTCT